GACAGTGAATAAGGAAGACCATAGAAGAATTGATGCTTTTGAGTTCTGGTGTTGGAGGAGAATATTCAAAGTGCCATGGGCTGCCAGAAGAACCAATAGGTCAGTTTTGGAAGAAGTGAAGCCAAAGTGCTCCTTGGAGGCCAGGATGGCCAAACTTCATCTCTCATACTTCAGGCATATTGTCAGGAGGGACCAGTCCCTGGAGAAGGATATCATTTTTGGTAAGGTGGAGAGTCAGAGAAAAAGAGGAAGACCCCCAACGAGATGGATTGGCCAAGTGGCAGCATCGATGGAATCAAGTGTGGCAACATTAGTGAGGTTGGCCCAGGATCAGGCAGTGTTTTGTTCTGTTGTGTATAAGGTCACTATGGGTTGGTAATGCCTCGATGGCTCCTAACAACAACAACAACAACAACAACAACAACAATACACATACCCACATGGATTGCAGAGAACATGCAAAGAACTGAATATGATGTGAATGTTAGTTTTGAACTGATCTCCTCCTCCCCATTCAGTTACCAGTTATTGTTTCTAATTTGATTCCGACTCATGGTAACCCTACGGGTGTCAGTGTAGAACTGTACTTCATAGGGTTTTTGGTGGCTGATCTTTTAGACGCAGATCACCAGGCCTTGCTTCTGAGGTAGTCTGGGTAGCCTTGAACCTTCAACTTTTCAGTTAGCAGCTGAGCACGCTAACATTTTGCAGCACTCAGGGGCTCCTCCCCATTAGTTATGTACAGAGTAAATGGAACAAAACAAAAAAGAGGCATTTGACAGCAGTACTCATTACTGTGGTTAAGGGACCAGATTTCAGACTGGATATTAAACCCCCTTAGTTGACTCACAGGAGTCCTGGGATGGTGCGGCAGGATAGGCACTGGACTGTTAACCCACCAGCCACTCTTCAGAATCCTTATACAAGGTCACTTTGATTCTGAACCAACTTGATGGCACTTAACAACCACAACTTGCCTCACAAGTGTTACTTAGCAAGACTCTACTCCAGGTGCCACGGACTGCCTTTGAGATGCTGCCTGGGCACACTTGCCTAAGCTGCACTGAGGTGAGTCCCTAACCAGTGTGGTTACCTGGGTCACCTCCAGATCCTGCAGTCAAGAGGGCAGCCTAGGCCTTATCTGATGGCACCTTCTCACCTTCCTCACAACATGACAGCTAGAAGATGAGGGTGAAAGGAACCTCGCTGTCCAGAAGTCTCTTTAAGCTCCCCCTCCCAAGTGACAGAACACCACCCCAGTCCCTTGATGGGGGCAGGAGACCCTGAGGCCTGGCCTCTGAGTGTCGTACTCACCGTCAGGCACACATTGATGAGTGTGCAGGTCTTGCCATCTCCCGTGTATGTTGGCAAACAGTTACAGACAGCCTGTCCGGGAGAAAAGAACAGCGGGGTTGCCTCACAGATCAATTCTGTGAACTGGTCACATGAACTGACTCTCAGAATCTAATTCTTTAATGCTCAGTAGAATATTCTCTACCTGGTAAGTCTGTTATCCTCTGCTGTCTTTCAGTTTGCCAAACTGTAGTGGCTTGCCTGTTGGAAGCTATGCCACTAATTTCAAATACTGGTAGGGCCACTCATGGTGGAGAGGTTTCAGCAGAGCTTCCAGACTAGGACAGATTAGGAATAAAGGCCTGGTGAGCAATTTCCAAAAATTAACAAATGAAAACTGTCTGGATCAGAATGCTGTCTGACTCGCTGGCTTTGTGCATGTCATCAAGAGGGATTCATCATTTGATGAGGATTTCATGTTTGGTGAAGTAGAGGGCCAGTAAGCCCCTTAGTGAGGTGGATTGGCACAACAGGCCCAATAATGAAATTGAATATGCTGGTGAATATCAGGATGACGAGGGGCTGGGCAGTGTTTTGCTCTGTTGTACACAATGTCACTATGAGTCAGAGTCAACTGGATGATGGCTAACAACTACAGCAACACCTAATCTATGAGAATTAGCATATTATATTCTAGCACATTTGGATCGCTTCACTATTTAGTATGCAGATCCTAGCTTGGCTGCCTTTTTTTTTTTTTTTTGACTTTTAACCTTATTCCATCCATTGTTTCCTGGGCACTGCTCTTCTCTGATTGGTGAAGGGTCAGTTGAAAGGAAGTTATATTCTGCTCCCATTCACACTCCTTTCTTGCTCATCTCTATTCTCTGTTAAGTCCAAAGACACCAGTGCTGAGAGATGCTCAAAGAGGGCTTCAGAACTAAGGAAGTTGCATAAGTCAAATGCATTGTTTGGTTAAGGAAGTCAGTTGGGGATTTCAAATTGAGGGAGGGCACACTGTCTGGAAGAAGTTGTAGATAGGACCTCCATGTCATGTGTGCAGACCACTCAGCCATGGGGATGGGTGGGGTTGAAGCCCATACACACTTTGTTCACTGGCTGCATGCCCAGAGGACAGGGCACCCGCTTCAAATGTGTTGACCCGAATGTGTCTCCTATGGCAACAGTAGCTCTGGTCTGATATCTATTTCTTAGAACTTGAACTGATCGATAAGGTCAGCAGGGCCACGCTGTCAGATCTTACACTGTTTCCTGTCCTCCACCATGAGCCCTAACTTCAACTCTTTCCCAAGATACCAACTAACTGTTCCTCTTCAACTAAGATTTTGTTCTCCGAGTTCAGCCTCCCAGCCTTCTCACTGCCTTCTAAGTCTAGAGCACAGTTAGAGGGCCTGAGCAGCAAACAGTTTATAAGTTTGCTACCCCATATTTGATTTGAAATAAAAAGCTTTACTGGACTTGAAAATATGTGTGGTGGTGGTAGTGGTGATGTGCTGTGGAGTCAATTCCAACTCATAGTGACCCTGCACAGGGTTTCTGAGGCTGTAAATCTCTACAGGAGCAGAAAGCCTCATCTTTCTCCCGTGGAACAGCTGGTAGTTTTGAACTACTGACTTTGAGGTTAACAGCCTGATTTGTAACGATGACGCCACCAGAGCTCCTTTGAAAAATATGTATGAGGAGGTCCTATTCTGATGGTGTGGTGCTGTGGACTAATGCATCAGATTGCAAAGTCGTTTGAACTGCAAGGGCAGTGGTTCAAGCTCACCAGCTGCTCCTTGGAAACCCTATACAGGGTCACTATGGGTTGGAATCAACTCGATGGCACTTAACAACAACAACATTCTGATGGTTTTGATTTTCTCGATGATTACATATATGTGGTGGGCTGAGTGATGGTCCCCAGAAAGATATGTTCATGTCCTAAACCCTGGTACCTGTGAATGTAACCTTAGGAGGCCTGGGAATTAACAGTTTTGCAGCTGTAATGAAGGATCTGAAGAAGGGATTAACAGTAGGTTCAAACACAGCAACTGTGAGGGTGGTGCAGGACTGGACAGTACTTCATTCTGTTGGGCACAGGGACACTATGAGTTGAAATGACTTGAGGGCACCTAACAACAACAGTAACAAGATGAGATCTTCCTGGACTATGGTGGATTTATTGAACTTAGGTTCAATGACTGGTGTCTTATATGAAAGGAAGGAGAGGGAGATTGAAGATCCGAGGCACAGAGCAGAAAGCCACATGAAGCTGGAAGCAGTGATCAGAGTGAATCATCTACAAGCTGAGGAACTCCAGGGGTGGCTGATGACCCCTGAGAACTAGGAGAGAGGTGTGGAACCAATTGTTTCTCAGAGGCTCCAGAATGAACCAGCCCTGCTGACTCCTTGCTTATTTATTTATTTAACAATGTGGTCTCGGTCAAAGTTTACAGAGCACATTAGTTTTTCAGTCAACAATTTATATATATTTTGCAATTTCCTGAACATAACGGAACTCTTTTCACTTCCTCTCAGTGCTCTCTGTTTCCATTTGCCTTTCATTCCTGACTCTGTTCTGAGCTTTATCCCAGGGCCAA